TTTTGAGGGATGGCTTTTTAAATTCAATTTTGTTTGTAATTATGAAAAACAAATGTTTGCATGGTGCCAGGATTAAATCTGTACAATGAGGCGACACCCAGGACCCGGGCTGCAGGTGTCTGAGGGCCAGCAGGGCTCCTCACCACCCAGACCCCAGGCAGAGGCCACCCTGGAGGACAAAGGGGGCCTGGTGCAGGGCCAGGATCCGGGGAGCTAGGGGGCGGCGAGCAGAGGCGGCCCAGTCCAGGAGCACGGAACTGCCCCCTCACCCGCTGGTCACCCCTCCCACACAGGTCGCCAGGCAGGAGGGGAGGATCATCCTGACATCGGGGCAGCCATTCCACAAGGTGAGTGTCCCACAGATGAGCTCAGTGGGCCTGAGCCCCATCTTCCCAAGCCCCTAGCCCCTCGGCCACCCCCAACTCAGGATCAGCTTGCCATGGGGCCGGCCCCCAGTGCCTCTGCCGTACCCCTGGTGGGCCAAGAGAAGGCTCCTGCCTCATCCTGGTGGAGATGGGCTGGGCCTGGGCAGGTGCTGGGCTCTGCACTGCCCTTCAGTAGCCGAACCGTGTCTTTGCAGCTCCGGGCCCAGGTCGGGGCTGGGCGCTGCCTCTCGGTCGACTGCTCCCTGAAGGCCCAGCAGCAGGCTAAGGCTGTGCTCAAGCATTTCAATGTGCGCGTCACCCACGCAGACATCTTCAGCCGCTGCCAGGTGGGTCCTGCGCACCCCGTCCTACCTCGGGCTGGCACAAGATCTGGAGCTACGGGGGTGTCCAAGGAGGTGGGCCCCCCAGACAATGGCGGAGGGCAGAGGCACCTGCCACACCCTCTGCTCTGCTCATGGGAGCCAGGACCACGAGCAACCCTGTTGCTCCCACCTCCACCCAGACACCCACATGCCTTGGGGGGCTGCTGCAGTCCGGGGTGAGGCGCCGGCGGAGCGTCCCTGCTGGGTCCGGGGTGAGGCGCAGGCGGAGAGTCCCTAGTGCAGGCCGGCATGGCCACGGGGACAGCTCCGATCAGGCACTGGTTGGGATTTGGGGAATTCCCTCCAGCTCCCATGGGGTTTCTGAAAGGAATCGAGAGAAATTGTGGAAGCCTATTCGGGCTGGGCGGGTCCCACTTTCCAAAGGCATCACACAGAACAGCCTGCGTCTGCTTGGTGACCTCTAGCAAGGTCTGGGCAACAGAACCCCTGAGTGGGAACTGCCGCACCTCGGTGGAGAGCCGTAGCGGAGGCCGGTGGGGGCACCAAAGCCCAGCTCGCCTCTCTCCCTCCTCTCCTGTCCCCAGTGGGGGACTGAGCTAAGCCACCTGCCCAGGGCTGCACTGTCCAAGCTTGCCGTGCCCCACACCGACTAGCTTGAACCCACTGGGCACCTGGGCATGGCCAGGCTGAGGGGGAGCTGATGCCGCCTTTTGCCCGTCCATGCCAGGTGCCGGGGGTCTCCGTGGGCAATACGGGAGCAGGGGGACTGTGGGCTGTGCTGGCTCTCGGCAGCTCCTGGTGGAGGGTACGGGCTGCTTCCAGAACGTTCCGGAGTTAGGGCCACATCAATATTCTGCCCAGAGCAGCAGGTCGGGGCTGCTCCACCACGCTCAGTTTTGTTTCCTGGGGTTTTTTGGGGGTGACGGAGTCTCACTCCATCACCTAGGCTGGAGTGTAGTGGTGCAGTCTCAGCTCACTGCAGCCTCCGTCTGCCAGGTTCAAGCGATTCTCTCACCTCAGGCTCCTGAGTAGCTGGGACTACAGGCGCCCACCACCATGGACGGCTAATTTTTGTATTTTTGTAGAGATGGGGTTTCACCATGTTGGTCAGGCTGGTCTTGAACTCCTGACCTCAGGTGATCCTCCTGCCTCAGCCTCCCAAAGTGCTGGGATTACAGGCCTGAGTAATCCCAGCCTCCCAAGCCCAATTTTGGGGGGAGGTTTTGGGACTCCCTCATGGAGGGAGATCCCCTCATGGAGGCCACTGCCAGGGTCCCTTCTGGCGCCTGGGCTGGGCAGGGAGGGGCCCTGAGCTCAGCTCCACCCATGGTCCTCAGGGGCACCCACCTGGCTGAGCAGGGACAGATGCAGGCCTGGGCCTTCTGCTACCGCCCTTCTGCCCCCACAGCCTCAGGCTGGGCCAGCGGGGACTGATGCAGGAAGGAAAGAGGGAAAGCTCTGGCTCAGATCTGCAGCCGGCCGGGCACCTGAACACACAGGCCCCTGGACCTCCCACTGCCCCTGGCCTGGGGTGCAGTCTGACCCTCTGACCCCACGGCTCTGCCTCAGGTGGCAAGGAAGTGTGCTCCAGGGGCCTCTCCTTCAGCCTTGGGCTCCAGGGGCAGCAGGAACCGCGTCCGCTGCCTCTCTTTGTCTGTGCTTAGGCCGGCAAGTGCTGTAAAGACCCCAGGATGTCCGGGATGCCTGGGGAGGCATGTTAATGAGCTGTTCAGAATCGGCTGCTGCATTTTCTTGAGAAAACAGGAAGTTGGGCCGCTGGGAGGAAACCCCTGCTGGAGCCCTGGGCAGCCGGGTGCTGGGGAGCGCCCCTGAGGACCCAGGCCAGGCGCAGAGGGGCCGCCAAGCCCTGCATGGAGAAGGGCGTCCAGGGTGTGAGGCAGAAGGGCGGACTTTGGCCTGGCGGAGCGGATGGGATGGGGGGCTACAGAGACTGAGCAGGTGGGGGCCGCCCTGTCCCATGTCCGCCCTGCCTCTTTGCTGGCTACTGGCAGCTCCAGGCTGCTGATGCCACTCTGCCACTCACACCCTGCAGCCTCCAGGGTGCCACTGCTGTGGCAAGCAGGAGCACCAGGCTCAGGGGGACTGCAGACAGAGCAGGCCTGGGAGGGGCTAAGGCCAGAGCTGCACTTCCGTTGGGGGCCAGCAAGCGTCCAGGCCAGAGAGGGCAGCGCCAGCCGCCCAGGACCAAGGCATTGAGGGAGGGAGCATCTGGGTCTCAGAGACTGCAAACAGCCGGCGGGGAGTTCAGCCTGGAGGGTACCCTAAGCCCTGGCTGCAGCCCTAGGCAGCGACCTGCCACCTGTGGCAACCCCTCTGTGTGGGGGCAGGATGTGGGAAAGGGGCGGGGGCGGGTGAGCTGCCTTGGCCCCACGGACTGCACGGCCGGGGGCCCTGCGGATACATGCATCTCTGTGTGTGCATATCCCACGGATGCTGGGTGGTGCACTGTGAGGAGAGAACCATGCGTTCCCCCTGCCCGCCCCAGCCTGGGAGCAGAGCATGTGCTGGCAGCCACACCAGAGCCCGAACCCCCGGTGCAGGGCTGGCAGGGGAGAGGGTGCTGGTCCGTGCAGAGCCCCACGTGTATGGGCCACATGTCACGTCAGGTGGGAGCCCAGGTGGGAGGGAGGCGCGTCAGGGCTGGGGACCCTGTTGGGCCCTAGCAGGGAGCCCTTGAGCAGGTGACAGAGAGCTGTTGGGAGAGGGGCCCCCTGTGCACAAGGGTCCCGCAGGGCCAGCGTGATGGGGCCAGGAGGGCAAGAAAGGGGTCTCTGAGAAGCTGAGATGTCTACATTTGAACCTGGCCTTCCAGGTTCCAGGTAGCGTGGGAGAATGGAGTTTGCTTTGCACAAGTGCCTCAGCCGGCTGGTGGCCCAATGCCTGCAGCCCGGGGTCCCACGTGCACACCTGCTTCCTTGGCTCTGGAGTCCCGAGAGGAGCTCAGAGCCTGGAGGGCCAGGGCCCCAGGCCACATGTCCATGATGACCATGTGCTCTAGAAAGTTCTTCCTAGGGCTGGGCAGGCTCAGGCCACGTTCCCACCACCCACTCCAACAGCACTGCAGCCTCAGTGCTCCCAGCTGAACCCTGGGAGCTTGGCCTGAGTGGGCAGCTGGGAACACCACTGGTCGGCCACCCCACACACTGGCTGCCCCATTCCCCACCCCAGAGGCGAAGGGAGGCCCATCCTCGGGGCCAAAGAGGTGGACACGGGCAAAACAATGGAGGCCAGGCCCAGGGACCACGCAGGCCCAGCTCCATGCAACTGCAGACCCCGGCCCTGTCCCCGAGGCCACCGTGCAGGGCTGGGCTGGCTGTGACCCATCCGGACACCAGAGGGCTGCTGGCCATCACCAGCCAGCAGAGAGCGGCACGCTCAGGCTGACGCAGCAGCAGAGATCGGCGAGATTGGCCTTTCGCCCTGGAGCTGCCCACGGGGCCTGGCTCTGGCCTCGGTCACAGGATCTGAGGCTCACAGCCTCCGCTGTCCCCCAGCTCCGGCCAGAACTGGCCACCTCCCTGGAGAGCGCCTGCCGCCGGCTGACTTTCCATTTTCTTCTTCCTTCTGCTATTTTGGTGCCGTTCCCGGAGGGAAGGCCCACTCAACATGCAGGGTTCCCAGAGCGAGGCTGGGGTGCTGTCTGGGTGGCGCGGTGGGCACACAGCAGGGAGTGAGCAACGGCACGCGTGATTGAGCCCAAAGCTGGGCCAGGGACCTGGCCAGGGGTCTGTGGCCACCGCCGGCCCCACCACTCAGCAGGGACCCCGAGCGGTGGGACTCCTGGGTGCTGGGGTTGCTGATGCCGGCTTTCTGGTAGCATCTGCCCACGCGTGCCCTTGAGTCAGGCAGGGAGGGGCTCCCCTCGAGCGAGGATGGCCCACCGGCCCACCCACAGGAGCCACAGGGGCCGTAGGTCTCAAGTAGAGGGCGGGGCCGTGCCCTCTGGGGCAGGGTGGGGATGGGGAACATTCCCAGTGCCGTCTACCATGGGAAAATATTTTATCAAAGAAGCTCGAGCTTAAAAAAAAAACCCTCACCATGAACCCCTGACATGGCCAGGCATACCATCTATTTTTACTGTCCCCAGTCCCCACCCCCCTAGCATGGTTGGGGAGCGGGCTGCAGCCCCCACAGGGACACGTCCTGAAACAGTGGCGTCAGCCCCTCAGAAGCGGGCATCCCAGGAGGCTGTGGTGATCCTGCCTCCAAGGGCTCCCGGGCAGAGCTGGCCATTGTTGGGGGGGTGAGGGGGGTGCGGCAGCCGGGTCCCAGCTCATGGGCGCCTGGGAAGCCCTGCAGTGCTGGGCAGGGACCCTGGGGAGGGTGGTCCAAGAGGGGGTTCTCGCGGGGGGGACGGAGTGGGCCGCAGGGCGGCTGTCCCCAGCATTCACACTCAGCACCTGGAGCCTGCCCTGACAGGGGCTTCAGAGCCCAGACCCAAGATCCAGCCTGGGGGCCCCAGTGCTGCCCACTCCTGCCATGGGCCTGGAGACCCTCACATTCTCTGTGCTCAGCTGATGGACAGAGGGACAGACAGGAGGAGGTGCAGCAGACCCCACCCCTCCCAGGCTCCGTCCGCCTCAGCCTAGACCCCATTCCCACGCTCGGCACCCCCATGTCACACAGGCACGCAGGGTACAGAAGGACCTCCTCCCTGCTCACAAGGTGGCGGGAGGGGCCCAGCCCCAGAGCTCTGGAGGAAGACGGGCGCTCCAGCCAGGGCGTGGAACTGCAGGGCAAGTTTCAGTAGCTGGTGGGCCTAGCACAACCCCCAGGCTGGGGACAAACGGGATGACGGCACCTGAGGGGACTTAGTGCAGCCCCCAGGGCTGACAGGAGGGTGGTCAGCCAGGAGCCCAGCTGGTTCCCCCAGGAGGCCACCCACACCACCTCCCCACAGCCTTGTGGGCTGGGGACCCTCCAGAAGGCCCCGATGCCCCCTCGTCCCTCCCTTTCTTAGCAGCCTTCCAGAAAAGCCGTGG